TCTATTCCAAGTGCACCACACATGAAGTTGTCAACATGATGTAAATGTTAAACAAATCACTTGTTAAATATCTTTGCAGAAAAGATGCATGAACTACAACTACATCTTGTACAATCTTGTCTTATATTATATGTTCAGAAATAATACAAGGAAGATGCTTTAAAAAAATCTCAAAAGTCAAGGTAATTCAAAATGACTGAAGGTATAACACAAGTAACGTTAGACTATTATTAACTATAAATATTCTGTAAAAACAATGTGGAATAACCGTTTTATAAAAGCAATAATCCCCGTGAAGCCGTGGTTTACAGTGAATTTACAACAGCTTCGCGTCGTGCCTAACAACACCCCTTAGCTGTTATAAACTCACTGTAAACCACGGCTTCTTGGGGCTTATTGCTTTATTTTCTGGATTTATGATTTAATACAACTTTATCATCAAAAATGGTGGTAATCTATTTAAGGCATAAAACACTGGAGCTGCCTGACGTGTATTCAGAGATGTGATGTGATGGACGAACACTGACTTGCACTGCCAAACGCTTCTCCAGGAGCGCTGAGGAGCAGCGGGTTCGGTCTCTGCGCTGGACTGAGCGTCACACCACAGCTGCAGACACGACGAGCCCGTCAGCAGACACGAGCCTGCGCACAGCGTCAGAGAGAGAGGTCAGCGGCCCGTCGCACACAGGACAAGCACACGCTGATCTCACGTACCTGTGGGGTGCCACGTCAGAATCTGTGCGACCGACTGCAGGACGAACTGCCCGCTCTTCTGCCAATGATAGCTCCGCTTCTGCTGAGCACAAACACACACAGCAAATCATTCACATGCATGCATCTGACAGACGCTTTTATGCATTGCATTCAAGGAATACATGCCTTCGGTTCATGCATTCGCTGGGAATCGAACCCATGACTTTGCATTTCATGACTAGGGTTGGGTATCGTTTGAATTGTATCAATTCCGATTCTGCTTATCGATTCCAATTCTTATCAATTCCCAGTTTGGATTCCAATAAAAGTCAAACATTTAGATATCAAACATATTTATTCTGTGTCTCTTTTTGCAAAACATTTAATTGCTGCTGAATAATACCATAAATAAAAACCGGACTCGATTAAGAGCTGTTTGTGTGTAATATAGAGTGGCATGATTCTGGATAAACTGAGACTTTTTTTAACCCCTTAACTGTCATCCCCATTTTTGAAAATTCACGAGAAAGTGCACTATCCAAACTTAAATTATTATAATTCATGAACGCTTTTGAATACAGACCTGAGGTTGGTCTCTTTCTAAAGAAGACAATTAGCAGATTATTACAGAAGTGAAATCATTTAATAAAATTAAAGTATTAAAGTTTAAAAAGTATTAAAGTAATAAAAAAGTTTATTTAAAATAAATATATTTTTAAACAGTTAAAAATACAAAATTGCTATAAAATTAAAGCCACGTGTCTACATAAGTTGTGTTCCAAATTTGAAGTCAATATAAAAAAATTGAGGTTCATATGCAATTTTGTTTAGGTGTTATACCAAAAAAAGCCACCGGGCGCCACCCAAACTACGTTGAATTCTTTTTTGATGCATTGCTGTCAAATCTATAAATTTCTCTCTCAATATTACATCTATCCCAAAATGACCACCAAATATGTAATCTTGAGACTCAGACCTTTCCAACAATATGTATTGTTGTCAAGATTATAAAAAGTTTTAATTCTAAAAGACCAGAATACACACCCCCGGTCAGGGGGAGGAGACCGCTAAAGGATTTTGAAGTACAATGTCCGATTTCAAAATGGTTTTCACAGGATGAATTTTGAGATTTTAAGCTTTCAATGGTATATAACTTATGATGATTACTAAAACACGTGATAGGGAAAAATGCAATGAAATAAAGACTTTTTGTGACAAAGGTCAGAACTCCTGTTATGATGTAGATTTGTCATAGACTCTTGGTGCACTCTTGTCATAATTTGTAACTACATAATTCCTACATAATTTGTAACAAAAAAAAAGGTAAAATATCTATTTAGGAGTCTTAGACCTTTCCAATGATATATAGTTTGTCATGATTACATTAGGATTTAATTGTAATATAGTGAAGTAAACTTAGGCGTCCCGTATACGGGTCGGTGACAGTTAAGGGGTTTAAAGAAGGTTGTAAATCTCTCACAATTCTGAAGAAAAATATTAGACAACTAAACAAAATCTCATGGAATTTATGAATGGAATGATTCAATGATTTACTTGTTTTATTACTGGATGAATCAGTGTTTTTGAATGAATCTCTTGAATGAATGATTCAAAAACAGCCACTTTTCACCACCTAAAAAAAGATGCACACACAGGAATTGATAGGTGGGATTGAAATTTTAATTTTACAACAAGTATCCGATTCTGGAATTGGAATTGATTTTCGATTCCCAACCCTATTCATGACTGCTTTAATAGAGTGCATTTATTCCAGAATAAAACTCACTTTTTGTGCTTTTCCTTGTGGACTGACCTCCACCGGCTCAAACACACAAATAATGTTTCCGTACGACGCTGCGATCTGAAAACAGAGCAGATTTAGAGAGTCTGCACAGTAATAATCCTGTTCGGATGCTCTTGCTGAATCCTAAAAACTTTCCCAGATCACTTCAAACGCTTTTTTTCAGAAAGGTTCCCACGCTCGCACAATGAGCTGGTAACGTGAGCACACTATGGGTGGATGGTTTTAATTAAGGGCAAGCGAGAGCGTGTGTGTGAGAGAGTGTGTGTGTGTGTGTGTGTGTGTGTGAGACTGTGTGTGAGACTGTGTGTGAGAGAGTGAGTGAGTGTGTGTGTGTGTGTGTGTGAGTGTGTGTGTGTGTGAGAGAGAGAGAGAGTGTGTGTGTGTGTGTGAGAGTGAGTGAGTGAGTGAGTGTGAGTGAGTGAGTGAGTGTGTGTGTGTGTGTGTGTGAGTGTGTGTGTGTGTGAGAGAGAGAGAGAGTGTGTGTGTGTGTGTGAGAGTGAGTGAGTGAGTGAGTGAGTGAGTGAGTGAGTGAGTGTGTGTAATTAAGGGCACGCGAGAGAGCATTTCAAAACTCTTCAGGTCCAGCAACAGGCCAGGAAACTCTTATGGATGATGCAGGGCTTTAGTTCAATTCATAAAATGCACATTGTTTAAATTAAGAAGCCAGTTGTGCCTGTGACAAGCTCAAAAGAGTTCACATATGTTGGCTGTTCAGTATTCATTACTCATTCAAGATCAACATAATTAGCCAGAGCAAGACGCTCAGCGTATCTGAGAACACACTTCACACCCTAATGATAAATAATATTTATACAGCCTTACGAAATATGTTTACTTTTCTGGATACCTGGAAATTTCTGGAAAATGTAATGGTTAAAGTATGGTTTTAGTAATAAAAAAGCATTTCTAATTAACTGGAATATATTCAATTTAACAAAAATGTATTAAAAGTTTAACAAAAATGTAATTTTTAGGGACTTATGAAATCCATTTAATTTTTTTCCCCAAATCCTATTTAATTTTTTTCTAAATTTCATGTTTTTCATTTACATGTTTCTGAATTCTGTTTTATTAGTTTATTAGTTGAATTGAAATGAATAATTAATTGAAATAAATAAATGTATACAATTTAACAACCATTTTTTAAATGTTTAACAAAAATTTTATTTTTAGGGCCCTATGAAATTCACATTATTTATTATATTCCCAAATTTTACTCTAATCTGTTTAAGTGCTGTACAAATGTATTTATTTATTTATTTTGTGCTATCTATTTTATTTTTTTTATTTAGTACAAATGTATTATCAAAAATGGTGGTAATCTAATTAAGGCATAAAACATTATAAAACTGAATTAATCTTTGAAAATGTGTTCAAATGAAGATTTAACCATTCTTCATAATTTAACCAAGATTTTTTTGGTAAACAACAAAATAGAAACACACTACTAATTAACACACAGACGTCACATTTAAATAGCAGTATTTTGTGCTTTCATTTTCACAGAAACTTACTTAAGTGCATTTTTCTTAAGTGCACAGGACTACTTTTGATGTATTCATCCAAATTTTGCCAAATTAGTCCGTGAGAAGCAAACCCAGGACCTTGGTCTTGCTGTTATGGTGTTGCTCTAATGTCTGCGCTACAGGAATGTGACACTAGATGCGTGTGTGTGTAAGAGTGTGTGTGAGTGTGTGTGTGTGTGTCTCACCTGTCCGCCCTGCAGTGAACAGTCCACGCAGCCCACCTGGATGTTCCCGTGTTTGGTTCCTGGGATGATCTGGATCCTTTCAAAGTCACTCCCCAGAATGACGATGTCACAGCCAGAGGCGTAGGCCTGTCCCACGAGCCCCGGACACACGGACAAAACAAGATCAGCAGCACAAACACACACACAGTCTGATACTGATAATCACAGTGAGTTCTACATATCATCTATAATGTGGAGCAGGGAGTGCAAGATAATATATATTTTCATTTCATGTTTGAGTGGATCGAAAACATGCAAAACACACATTTAAGTGTTTAGTTTATTGCACATCTATTTGCGTCTGAAGATTTCAATCTTTAAAGAGTTTTTCTCTTCACAGTTTTACTCCTCTCTATATTCTGTAGGTTTGTTCATATTTCATTCACATTGATTTCTACAACATTTCACTCATAAAAACGTGGTGAAAATGTGTTTGATTTATGTCTGTTGACAGTATTTTCTGATTTATGGAGTTATAAAAAGAGAAATCCAAAACTCCATCTGGAAAAAAACTTTAATTCTAATACGACAACAAACTCAAACTAGATTTATGAACCTGGATCTGCAAACGTCTGCAAATTATTGCACAGTTAATCTGATACTGATGACCACAGTGAGCATCTGGGCAATTTTTCTGATTTTATCAATTAATCCGAATGTAATGTTTTGCTATTTTTATTTTTTTTTAAATCGAGGAATCACATTTTTAAATGTTTTCATTTACTGTTAATAATCGCTGCTGCTGCTGTTACACTGACAGTCAGGAAGAGAACATATTTAGCATTTTTATTTGACATTATTTCTGAACACATCAGACAATATTTGCCTTCATATTTCATGCATCTTTTCTGCAAAGATATTTAGCAACTGAATTTGTTTTGCATGTACAGCATGTTGAACTTCATGTGAACAGAACTTTCTTTAACCAGATGGTTCATACAGAGAACGTTACTTCAATCAGCAGTTTTTAAACGGACTAGTTAATCATTAAAAAAATCAAAATAGAAATCTTGCATTGGTCAAATGTTCTGCTATGTTGTGCCGTATCGCTCAGGTTTACCGTGAAGGGCTGGTTGTTGACGCGGCCCACAGAGAAGCAGTTGTCTCCGGGGTTGACGGCTCCTGTGAGCACCTGGTGCAGGTTCATGCTTCTTGGCACACTTGAGTTTCAGCGCGAACCCCTGCAAACAGACGGAGAATCAGCGACTGGTAGTGTTGGGCGATATGCTCAATTTTCATATCGTCCTATCGTCAGCCTGTGAAATCGCCGATACACGATATTATCGTGCTAATTTATTTAATTATTTATTTACCTAGTTTCATTGCCGGAAAGTGAACCAACTCCAGCGTAAGGCTAAAAGCAGCCTAATGTTTTTAATATGACTGAATTTGTATTTAACATGAAAAACAATTATTAGAAACATCGTAAGTTACTAATTATAATGCTTACATTTCGTCAGTTATTCAAAAAGCAGCTACTGAAAACAAACAAAGAACATTACATTACCAAAGAACATCATCACTCAGTCTAGCGCGAGTACATGCACTTTAAAAACACTCCCGTTAAACTCAGTGAATCTACACTGTATGATGAATAAATCTCTTATACTTACATAGCCTACATCGCACGTACTTCTGCACTTTGTTGTTTATGATGAGAGAATTCGCGAGTCAGAATTAAGTCAGCGCGCGCTGAACAATAAACTGTTTCAGCGGTGAGTCATCTGAACGCCTCTGATTGGCCAATGCATTCATAAACTCAGCATAATTGTGTGTGATTGGTTATAACGCGCAATACTGTAAAACACGGAAAAAGAAATACAATGCAACAAATAAGCCCTAATATTAATTAGAGAGTATTAGTAGCCTGATAATAATAATAATAATAATCGTCTTGCTACCGTCAAAGGCATCAGCCACAGGCAATATCGCTGACTATCGTCGATACACGATACTATCGTCTATCAGCACAACCCTAGCGACAGGTGTCAGCAGAAACACACAGCAGTGATCACACACACACTCACACACACACACACTCACTCTCTCTCACATGCTCACACGCTCACTCA